ACTTTGAAAGCTTATGGTACCTAGTTCTGGAAAGATTCTCAAAGAGGCTTGCAAGGTGGAAGAGAAATTACATCTCCTTAGGGGTAACCTTGATCAAGTCAACCTTGACTAACTTTCTAGTCTATTTCTTATATACCTTCAGAATCCTTGCTAGAGTGGTCAAACAAAATAATGGAGTTCCTATGGGAGCCTAGGGACACAAAGAAAGGTAATTGGTGAAATGGGAGATAGTTGCTAGACGTAGGGATGATGGGGGCCTAGGTATAGGAAATATCAGACTAAGGAACCTAGCATTGTTAGGAAAGTGGTTATGAAGATTACCTTTGGGACAAGATAAACTGTGGCATAAAGTGATTGTAAGTATCCATGGCTTGGCAGACAATGGTTGGGATGCTGGTCTCAACTATGGGGTGTCATAGTCTTCTCCTTAGAAAGCAATACACAACATCTTGTCACCTTTCCTTCCATATATCAGATTTGATGCTTGTGTAGGGAATAAAGTATATGTTCTAGGAAGATGTCTGGTTCAGGGATACCTCTCTTAAAGATAGATTACCATCAATTTATGCCATCTCCCTAAACAAAGGAAGAGTAATCTCCTTTGTTTATGGAAATGAAAATTCTTGGGATTTGGGGTTGAGGAGAGGGTTAAGAGAGTCTAAAATAGGGTTGGTGGATGACCTCGTTTTGGACAATTTGGTTGGTGTCCCCTGCTGGTTCTTCTACTTGTTCCCCCTTCACTGCACTTCTCCAATGTTCTAACCTGGCAGGATCTTTTTTTTTTTTTAACAATAACAATTTCATTAATTCACCAAAGAGATTACATAAGGAAGACAAATACACTTATCTTCCAAGTACAATCAAGAAAACAAAAGAATAGGTAGAGACAAAAAATTACAACTTAGCCCAAAACATTGAATCCCTTTCTGCCCCTTGTTTAGCTAAACCATCAGCTAGAGAATTGGCTGATCTTTTGACCCAGCACATTTTAACTTCTATCTCCCGCACCAGCCACTCAAATTTCCACCTCTGATTACTGTACCTCCA